AGAGAGCAAGTATTCCCGAAGCAGGAGGTTCATCTGGGGAAGGGGAGTAAGGGGCTGAAGTCCAGCCAAGTCTCTGGTGGAAGTTCTCAAGACTTTTTGGACGGCAGAAGACCCCAGGCTGGATGGGTTCTGCCTTCAGGATCCGATTGCTGGAGTCTCACAGCACCCCCGCCTCTTTCTAGTTCTTGTGCCCCCCTCCCACTTCACAGCACTCCGCTCCCTGCCCAGCCCCTCCCTCTCCTTTCTCCCAGGCACTTGAGCAGCCCTTCCTGCTCTGTGCTTCACCAGTGCACTTTAACAAGAGATAAACTGGGTTTGGCGCTTGCCAGTTTAGCTATTTCCAGTCTCAGGCTTGGATTCATGAGACAATGAGAACCGTTGCGGGAATTGGTTTCTTATTCCCCTGCAGCTTTGCAACTTCACAGCCGTTGCTTCCTAATGCCTGCAGCTCCTTTGTGTGCTTCCCTTGAGCCTGGAGCAGTCTGTCTCCCTCCCACCCTCCCTCCCTCCGCGTGCCTGGCCCCAAAGACCAAATTCCTCGGTCAGTCACCCCATCCCAAACTCCATGCACTTGGCAGATGGCCAAGCACCCAAGGGCCACTGGAGAACCCCCGGAGAGGCAGCCAAGGGCAGACCAAGCGTCCCCACTTCCAGCTCTTCACCTCCTTGGTCAGATGCTTGACTGGCCTCTGGCCACCCCCCACGCCCCACACATTGTCCAGCCGATTGACGTCTCGCTTGATGCGCAGGAGGACGGCAGCCCGATCCAGGGCAGCCCTGCAGGGAAAGGAAAGCACATCCAGCAACCGAGGGAAGAGGCGGCTGTGCGTTTTATGTCAGCCCGGGGAGAGTGGGCCTCCTTCCCTCCCCCCCGAGGGCATGGCATGCACGAGGCCGGCCCTCTCACCGTGCGTGCTCACAGTCCACACGGCCCTTGTAGCGCTCGAGGAAGTTGAGGGGGAGCGCGTGGTCGGCCACAGCCCGGGCAATGAACTGGCCCAGCATCTGCACAGGCAAGACAAGGGGCCGCAAGGTCAGGGGCCACGGTGTCCAGAAGAGGGAAGCCCCCCTCCCCCTTCCTGGACAAGACTGACCTGCGGCGCCTCAGGGGTGTCGAGAATGAGGTCGGGGAGGTCGTGCAGCATCCCGTCAAAAGCAGCCGCGATGTCCTCAGCACTCAGCACCTTCCCCACCAAGTCGGAGAGCAGGCGGGAGGTCAGCTCGCGATGGCTGGCTTTCCCCTCCAGAGAGAGCACCACGGCCAGCGAGGACACGGCCGCCTTCTGACCCCCCAGGTTCAGATTCCGAAGCAGCTCCTGAGAAAGGAGGGAAGAGGGGCCAGGTGAGGGCTGCGCTTCCGCCAGGACTAGGTGTGGCCTCGCTGGGACCCCGGGGCCCGTCCCATATACTTCCCAGGGCTTCTGCAAGCAGCAGGGAGACGGAGTTTACTTGTCTTGTGCAAAGGGTTTAAATCGGCTGGCTGGAGCTTTTAGTAAAGGCACGATTATCTTCAAAGATAATCTCACATGATTTACAAGGCCCGTACGATGCAGGGGGACTCATTTCAATGAAAGCCCAAAACACACAGCAGATCAAACTGCTCCAGAGAAGCCAACCCGATGTAAACAAACAATTTGTGTTAAAAATTCTATCCAATTCTCAAGGTATAAAATAATTTAACTTTTAGAAATAAACCTGTCAGCCAGAGAGCTGCAACTCAGCTCATTTCAGAGGCCGGGAGGGGCTGCTTCCATCAGCCCTTCTCCTGGGACCCTGCCTGGCGCACGCCTGTGCCAGGAACGCCACCCTGAGCAGTTCCTGGCTTCCCTCTCAAGCAGACTCCAAGATGGCTGGACCCAAGCGAGGGGAAAGGGGCTTGGAGGAAAGTCCTCCAAGGCAGCCCCCTGACCCGGCCCAAAAGAGCGCCCCTCCCCCCTCCCCACTTTCATCAAGGTTTTCACTCTTTCCTTCTTCTGCCATCTCAGCTGGCTTTCCAGCGGAATCTCCTGGATCCAGTGGCTGATGGAGTGAACCGGAGTTCAGTGATATCAACTAGAGACCAGCATACTCATTAGAGCCTCTGCTGATTAGACAACCCAGCCCATTCTTAAGGCTCTGGGGGGGTGGGGGGGTCCAGAGGCTCCCTCTTGCAAAGGGTGGGGAGGTTCTACTCCTGCTAAGACTCACCACCACTTCCAGAGTGTCTCCGTGTTCAAAATATTCCATCACCATCGGCTGCACAGTCTTCTCCAAGTCCTCTTCTTCCAGCTCAGGCACCACCGTGGCATAGACAGTCTTTCCCTAAAAGAGCCCAGCAGCCATTAAAGACCCCCCCACACACACACCTTCCTGGGCTCCCTCCTGAGCCTCTGGGCCGCCACCACCGCCACGGCCCAAGCCTGCTTCAGCCGGGGTCTCCAAGGGGAGAGCGCCAACCCTGCTGCATAAGGAAGAGGCCAGCAGTGAACTTAAAAGAGCCCCCAATGCAGGCCAAGAGGAGGGGGGGCTGAGGGAGGTGGGGGTGAAGGCCGGCTGGGCCTTTTCATCCCTTCCCCCTCTGGGCCGGGACTTCCAAGCTTTGCCTGGGAGGCTCTTGAACCCCCCCACCCCCCAGGCGGTACCTGCGCAGCCTCGTCATAGTTGGGGTCGCGGGCATCCGGCTCTTGGTAGCTGTAGACAAGCCCCGGCGCTCCCCAGACGCCTTTGCCCCCTGCCCCACCTGGAAAGAGGGAGGCGGCCGTCAGGACTGATCTCCGGGCAGCAGCAGCAGCAGCAGCAGCAGCGCCCGAGCTCCGGGGCCCGGCGGCCGGCCTACCTACCTTTCTTGGGCAGGCCGCGGCCCTTCCCCATGCGGGACTTGCGGTCGTGGTTCTTGCCCTTCGGGCTGCTGGGCTCCGCCTCCGCCTCGCCCTTTTCTGGAGGGGCTTCCCGGGGGGCGTCGCGGGAGGAGGTCCGCCGCAGCCGCCGCTTCCCCTTGGCCTTCAGCCGGGCTTCGTGCAGCGCCTTCTCCTGCGGGCTCCACGGCGGCGGCTCCCCGTCCAGCCCCTCCGGCTCCTCCGCCAGAGCATCCTCCGCCTCGCCGCCCGCTCGCTCCGGGACCT